GTCTCCTGTGCATTTTTTCTCCTCCTTTTTGGAACGCAAGGATGCCCAGATGCCCGTGCCCAAGATGAGCAGGTAAAACAACGCCATCACCACCAAGCCTGGTATATTGAGAGCCATCTTGAACTACTTTTGTGTCCTGCAGAGAGACATCAGAGGCTGGTGAAAAACTGAGTCGCCAACTGCTTCAAAAGGAAACATGCAGATGCTGCTTGCAGGTCTTTTAATTGTAAAATACAAATAAATCACATCTAATTCTCTTTTTTTGTATAAATAAATATTTGCAGGACTGTAGCGCAAGGAAGATGGGGGAGGAGCCACGTTTGCATACATTTAAAAGTCACCTGAGAAGAATCTGATAAAAACGTGCATTCATAATGTGCAGGAAGAAATTAAGCACAATGAAAAGAAAACAGAAGGATGTGTTTGTATTAATGAAACCTGAGCAAAGTGCAAAGAGACTATGTGCCTCTTTAAAAAAGCAAAAAAAAAAAACATAAGAAAGGAGCAGTAGCATCTGCGTGCCTGGGTCTTGGTGCAAAAGGGGGGGTAATAAGAGGCATGAAGGATGAAGAGTCAATCTTCAAATAAGTCAGGTGAACACTATGTAACAACAATAACCCAGAGCTGCCATTATTTTTAGTCACTCATCCTCATTGTGCCTATAATAAGGGACAACATTTGTCTTTGCAGAGCGGCTAGGATGACCTCACAGCCGTGCACGACAGCAGCGTGCTTGGTTCGCTCTACAACGTTTCGTTTTTTTCGTCTTTTTGACTCGGACTATTAGCAACACTGGTGTTTACATTTTTTAGGCTTTTAATCCTTTATTTAAGAAAAGGCTAGCAATCAGGATGTTTACAAATGTTGCTAGCAGATACCTGTTGTAGCTAATTATTCAAGCTAAATGAGTTAGTCTGACTTTAAACTGAGTTGTATAGCTAACTAGATTATAACTAGCATGCATGCTATTGCTAAAGTAGCATAAATAAACTGAGAAATGCTCTGTTCAGATTTTGCAGGGTATAAATAGCTGGTCCTTCTAAAAAAGGCACAGTTGTTTTAAAAATGTAAAGCTTATCTACTTGTTTGACTTTTGAGATGCTAACGTATCGTCTTCTGTTAACTTTAAAACGATTGCGAACCTCAAAATCGAACCAAGAGCAGGACAAAGTGATAACATTACTCTACCCAAAGTAGTGTACCTTATAATTCAATTTTTTGTGTGTTTTTTGTGTTTTTCACCCATTCTTTAAACTTCTTTAAGCTACGTTAACACCTGGTGAAGAAGTTACAAGCCAGCGACTGTTTACAAAGTCGGCTGTTCACTGATAACTTTTGTTTGCAGTTTTCTTTTAACACATTACTCTTAAGAGCAACATTACATGTGTAGCCGTTTAACTCAGTTACGCTTAAGCACGGGTGACTTTGGTTTAAACCTTGTGTTAAGCAACGCTACAACATAAAAGTGATGATGACAAAACTAACAAAAACCATAGAGGAACACAAAAGAAAGCAGCCTATTGATTGTGACTCCACTATGTTCAGTTTCACCCTCTTGTTTGGGCGAGTTAGCACCCTTTGTAATATTGATGTTTCATTTAAAAGAAAAACATTAAAGACAGAGGTGTGGAGAAGTGTGTTCTAGTGTGAAACAAGTGTAACAAAAAGGAATGAAACAAGTACATTTAAATAGGTGAGTAAAAAAAAAA